CCCACGGCGGCAGCTGCTAAGGCTACGGCCCTGCGAGCGGCCTTAGCTCTGCTTTTCAAACCACGCAGGAGTTAAAGCAGCAGAACGAAAATGCCGTGTTAGTAAACAGAACAGACTCAGAGGAAGACTCAAGGCGTACTGTACGCAGTACGTGGCTTCACTGCAACAGCTTCAGCAGCCAAACAAAACACTACTGGGAAAGTGTTATTTGACCAGGAGTTTTCTTTTTTTTTTTTCTTAAGAAAGACAGGTGGCTTCCAAAACAATGTAGAAAAACCCTGCTTTTTTTTTTCTAATAAACTTTTCTTCCTTTTTTTTTTTAATAAAGAATTTTATTTATCCTTTTTATTTGTTCTGGCCAATAGAGATTAATGTGGTGTTTGATTTCTTTTTTTTTTTTCTGGAGAGGGGAAAAGATGATCATTAAAAAAAAAGGCTACTTTAACAGTCACCTGACTTTCAGCCCCTCATTTGTACAAAAGTTGTTTTGTCTCCCCATTTGCACACTATGAGACTGTCTGCATTACCAAGGAGTTCAAACAACCATACATACACCCAGCCACCTAGGTTCTGTCTATAAAGAAATGGCAAGGCTCAGACCCCACTTGGTTCCAAAGAGAGCAGCTGATATTGCTGCTGATATTTAAATGAAGCAAAACTGTCATTGCAAGAATCAAAATACTTCTCATTCCAATCATAAATATGGATAAAAGCAGAAGAAAAACAAAGGAACTCCCTCCCCCTCACAACACTTACTAGGTACAAGTAATAGAAATGAAACAAAGCACAGCATTTCACAGACTAAGCTATCTCTACTTTGCTCTGGTAGATCCATCTACATCATTAAGAATATTTTTAATGCAGAACACAAGAGTTAAGATTGAATAGAATCAAGCATAGGTTACTATAGGGCTAGAAGACGGCTCAAGTTGTTATTTTTGATGTTATGCAAGCTTATTAAAATCTATTAAGTGAAGAAAACACACTGTAGTGCCCCAGATTTGCACATACAGCTTCTTTTAACATCAGTGAAGGCTCTTTTTGGTAAGTGATTTTCTGCGGTCCTTAGATAATCTAGAGTAACACAGGCAGGTAATTTAAAGCTAGGACAATACATCTCATCCTCAAATCACATCAATACAAAGCAAGAGAAAAAGGCAACATACTGCAAGGCATGGATGGAGTATCAGTCTTAACTTTGAATTTCCTATCTTCTGTCATTTTCTGACAACTGCAATGTTTCATAAAAAGGTTTTTTGGTATCTTTTCATTGCTTTCTTCTCTATCATTCTTCCTTTAATAACACACATTACTTGTATGACAGACTGAAGAATAAGCAGGCATTTTGAACTATTGTGTAAGAGCATGAATGCAAGGTATATACAATTTTCCATGCAATAACCACTGACTGGACAGACCACTTTTATTTTTGTATGAAGCTGTACTTCTAAAACAGCCTACAGGCAAGTCAGACTGCTTTCATTACAGTGTCACAAAATCCTTCTCTGAAAATTGTTTATTAGCAAAGAACCTCATATCTTCATGGCGTTGTAAGAATAGTAATTTGTAGAGGTATGGCAATATTAGGAAAAAAATGTATTTTCTCTGTCTTACCAAAGAAAAGAGGAATTAATGAATCTAGGTGTTTAAAAAGAATTAAAAAGATAGTTAAGGCACTGTTAACACTTGAGCTTGGAGCAGACCATTCTTTTAAGAAGCGGAAGTTGGGAACTAGTAAAAAGACCATAGAAATGTTAGCTAGTAAAGTACAAACAAAGCAGCTAACGAAATATAAAGGGACACATTCTGGCTTTGCACAGCCTGCCTCCAGACACCCTCTTTAAGGGAGAACGGATCTCACCACGAGGTATGAGACTGGTTGGGGACACCAGCTGCCGCTCTTACATGTGTCCTCTGCGTCACACTGTGTGCCCGCATCTGTGAGCTGGAAGCACACTTGGAGGGGAAAGAAAGAAAAAAAGGAGGCTCTGTTTCTTTCCCCATGCCAGCAATGAGCTCGTAAATGAGGTATAAAACTCAGTTTATCATAATGATGTACATGTCTGCCAGCAAGCTGGCCACCAGCCAGGGAGTACAAGTCGGTGCTACCGAGCTACTCGTCAAATGAAGATCTGCGGTTCCTGCAGAGCAGGCCATGGAGAACTCGGAGGCTCTGCCAGGCGGGTGTCCTAAGGAGTGGAGGGCAGGAAAGGCGGCTCGAGTGGGAACGGGCCCAGCCACGGGCGCTCACGGGCACGCGAGGGTCTCACCCTCCTCCGAGGGAGCAGCTTTGGCTGCGCGTCCCCTAACTTGAGGTCCTAACTGCTGTGATTTGTTTTGCCAGCGTAATGCAGACATGCCCAAGTCCAAAACATATTAACTTTTTTTTTTTCATGCAATATTTTGGACAAAAAATACCCCCCGGATTAGGCACAAGTCTGTGTTGTCTGCCAGGAGGCACTTGTCTTAGTAATCACTACTGCGAAAGCTACACTAAAAAAGCCTGTTTTATGTATTTTCATGCTCAATACTTGTTAACTTTACTACAAAAAGCAGCGCTCGCTTCTGAGAGGAGACCAGACAAATGCATTACATAAATACTGTCTCTCTATTGCCTCTGGAGCTGGCACTGTATTAATACTGTTACTGCGGTTAGATTAAGCCAAATGCAGAGCTAATGTAAATTGAGATGTAAATGCTATCTCGAAATGAGGACATGAAAAGGGACAGCAAAATTTTTGATGCCTTTTAGCAGAAATCATCTTAAATATTATTTATTTATTAAGCATTAAAGATCCAAAAGCATCTGAAGGCAATGTTCTTACAAGATTAAAACTGATGCAATCCTGGCATTCCATAAAAAGAAAATGAAATCCAGCACCAAATCTCGTAAAAACTGTGGGGGCAGATTTCACAGTTTAGATGCACAAGATATTTACTGAAGACAACTACTGGAACAGCATGGACAAATGGCCAATATAGCTTATTACAAATGGCCATCAAGTCTGTAATTATCTGATCTGGTATTTTTATATACAAAGCAGTATCTATGCATTTGAAAATGAAGAAAAAAGGAAAAAAATGATGGACTCACTATTTTATTCTGTCAACAAGGTGTAGCCAGACATGAGCAAAACAGAGATACCATTTACTTTGTTACTTAATGTCCTTTCTTCTTCTAGATATTTTATCATATCCATAGTTCTTATAAGCACTATGGACTCTTTCTGCCTCTGCAGTTGGTTTATCTATCCAGATTAACGCTAGTGACTCGAGGCATTAGCTTTGGTAGCGCTAGCGAAACACTGCAAACGGCAGTGAGGCCACACGTGCTCCTGCAACAGCTGCAAAACAGCTGTCCCCATCTACACTCTCACTGCTACGGCAGATTTGAATACGGAAAACCAATTTAATCTGCAGAAGGGCTGGGATCAAGGCTTAAAACCCAGATGCAGGCTTGCTGATTCAGAAAGCCTTGTGTGGGCCTGTGCTACAATTACTGACTCCTTGCAAAATGCTGACCCTACCTGAATTTGGGACATCCTGAAGTTGGTAAAAGTGTCCTTTATAATTGCCCAGATATATGTAAAAATATAATCCATATATATATATATATATATACACACACACATATGCATGGATATATAACTGTGAGCGAATTGCACTTAATTCCCTCTACTGAGAGAACTGTTCTAAGAAACCCTGGTATAAATTGACAGAAAAAAAGGACAGATTTTGGTGGGGTTAGATGCAACAGTTGCAAACTGCTGTGTGGCCATTTGCTTAGCCAACACAGTTTGAAACCAAGCCACTCATACACAGTGTTGTGCCTAACCCTGGGCCCCGAGCTGCACTCCCAACACGAGAGGGGAAAAAAAAACGGAAAAAAAAATAAATAAAGCCCCCTCCCAAAATCCCATCTAACAAATCAGCACAGACAGAAATGAGGCTCTGAAAGTAGGAGCACTATTGCAGCATTCTAACACTGGTTAGGACTGAAGCACTGAACACGAAAAAGAGTGTGTTCGATGCCGAGGTACACACCTCTTCCTCTGAACTGTCACTCAGGTCATTGGCAAGTGAGGCACTCAAGGAGGCCGCCTTGGGCTCCAGGTAGCAGAGGCACATAGCCAGAGGGAAGGAGAGAGTGAGGGCATATGGCACTGAGAAAGAGGCAGAGAGCAGAAAGAAAAAGATGAAGAGGAAGCAAGGCACGAGGGACGGGGAGCGGATGGGAAGGTAATGCTGCACGCTGGCAGGCAGGAGGTTGGTTTCGGAGAGGTTAGGGAGAGACAGGTAGCCATCGTCATCCAGGAGAGAAGGGAATGACTCTGGAAGTTGCAAGGAGAAGGAAAACAACGTTCCGCCTTTGCCGGCCTTCTGCTTATAGCCAAAGGCCACGTCTTGTTCAGCAGAGCACCCTCTCCCTTTTCGGTCAGAGTCCAGGTCCGGCTCACCGTGCCTTTGAGCACTCTCTTTAGGTGAGTCACGACCTACGGATTTCCGAGCGCTCTCCTTGCATCTCCGGCGCAGCTTGGCTGAAGATGCATGGGGACCACCACACTGAGAGGACGGGGAGGACGGGAATGAGTCAGTGCCAAGCAAAGATGGCTGGTGATAGAGGAAGAGCAGCAAACAAGGCGCGGAAGCAAAAGGACAAAAAGAAAACTGTAATTAGTTAATTTTCTTCCGTGATGATAAAAATATATAAAGTCACAAGCATTATTTTTACACCATAGTTTTTTGACGAGTTAAACATCGCACGCTCCCATGCTGCACACCGCAGGTACTGGTGAACAACAGCTACAGCTTACAAAAGGCAACTTCTTTGTTCCACATTTGTCTAGTCATCTGCAGTGCATGGACTGAATAAAAGTCTTCATGGCCCTGGATGGAGATTCAGATGCTGCCAAATTGCCACGTTTCGTAAAGCTTGTTGCACATCATGAGGTGCTTTCCAACATGAAGTGCATGGACAACATGAAGGAAACAAGGGGACATAGTCCTCATGCCCACACTTGACACATATCAAGGAGAAGTTTTTTGGAGAGAGAGCAAGTAGCAGATACCACCTAGGCTTTGGAAAGCCTTAGCTGGAACAATGAAAACCCCAAGGATTTTAAACTGGGGGGACCCTAATTCCTCCGTTACATTATTTAACAGAACACACTATGCCGTAAAACTCATCGAATTAATTGTACCCACCTACTCTACCATTCCCCTTCATTAACCAACCAGCTGTACTCCCTGCTCCTATCCCTACGCATGGCACGAGCTGACCTGTCCCTGGAAAACCCCGGCGGGGTCGGTGCCATTCAGCAATGCGTTGGGGGGCAGGGGCTGAGCTTTTGTGGCTAAGCAGATCATCTGCTCTCGCTGTGCATGGGGAAGGGGCCTGACCACCAGGCTGGCAGAATTGGCCCTGGTGCCATAAGCTGCCAAGTTCCTCAGATACTGTCTTTGCAAAATGACTTCTTTGCCATAATTTAGAGGCAAAAATGTAATCGGAAATGAATCCATAATGAAGAGGTGAAAAGGAAATCCCAAACTTTCTCCTGGAAGTTTTGCCACAGTGCAAAGAGGATCAACTACCAACAAACAGGATTTACTTTATGTAGCGTTAGTAGGGCTTCAACAGGTCTTTAAGATTATGCATGGGATAAAAGGCACAAACAGGAAGATGGGGCCCTCACCACTAATCTTAATTCCTGCCTGAATTATAAAGGCGCAAACAGGAAGATGGGGCCCTCACCACTAATTTACTGTACATCTGATGTGCTCCTAGTAGGCAGCACTAAGTTCTAGAACAACAACAATCGCTTCCAGCCTACTCCAGGACACCAGACCTGTCACAACATACACCCACGTTGGGCATTTTGGCCAAAGTCAACTTAGGCTGGCGTGGCTAAAGTGACACACTGGCTCCATGAGCAACCACAACCTGCACGGCTCCTCCACCACTCGTCTTCCTGATGGAAATATGAAACCCATTTCCCCTGCCCTCCTGCTTGGAGCTGGCAAGAACAGAATCCAGGCAACAAGTGGCCTCTGTATTGGATACAGCTGCACAACTGCTACCTTCCAAGTGTAACCTTTCCCAGGTATATTAACGGTACAAGTGAGATTTATGCCAAATGTTTACAGAGAAGAGCTCCTTCTCCTCCCCTTATTATTTTGCTTCTCTCTCTTTTCTAAGCATAGTACTTTAAAGAAAATGCCAAGATTCAGGCAATCTGTATTGCACAGTTTAACAACAAAACCAAACCTAAGTCAAACTTCCTATAAAGGTCTTTTCTCTGGGCTTAATGGAGGTTGAAATTTAATGCTAATGACATCCCAGCACTGTGTGTCAACAGACAAAACTTTTCTTTTTATTGTAAAAGCCAAAAAACCCCACAAAGTACCTTTCTTCTTAGCTAATATAGACTATTCACTCATTTGACATTTTTGCAGCATTCCTTTTTAAAATAACTTCTGCTGTTTAAATACATATTGATAAATTAAATGAAAAATGTCCGAGTGAAAAAGCTGAAAACATATGTATAAAGTTTGTACGGCCCATAAGAAGAATTTGATTTCAAAATTGTTCTGTGTTTCTCTAGATCCTATTCTCTTTATTATAAACGACAAGACAACTAGCAGGCCCAGTGGAAGCAGAGCTAAGATCTTTACATGCTCACAGAACTGAAGCTGTTGCTAACAGGTGATTTAAACAGAATCCTCCTTTTAGGAGGGGACACTTGTTCATCTCTGCTCTTCAAATATCATCACAATATTCTAAAAATATCTTTGACTACTTCTAGCCAAATCTAAGGAACATAGGATCTCTGCAATACAGCTAAACCTTTCCACTGCCCTGAATCAATAAACCTTTGGAACAGAATTAGTTTCTAATGGATATTTTCTGCAGATTTATTTTTTGTCAATATTCTTCCATGCACAAACTACTACTCTCCTTTCAAGAAGATTCCAGATAAATTTTAGATTTTTTTTAAATGGTACAACTATAGTCCATTACTATAAAAAAAACAAACAAAATCTTTCTTCAGTGCAATCTTCAGTAATTCGGATTTATTTTTTTAATTTCTGTACTTCAGTTTTTATTTCAGGATTTGCACCTTTAACTTCTTAATTATGGCACTAATTAGAAGTTCTAAGATATGTACCCATAATCAGTTTTGTCGATTTAAAAGTAAATATCAAGTTTTTTCTCATAAATTGAGAGGGTAAACCTTATCACTTTTTGAATGATATCCTAGACTCAGCATTTCATAGTCTTTTTTTTTCTTTTCCTTCTCGATGTAAAAGAAACAGGCCATTTTACACCCAGTCATTTCGGATTCTATCTTCACCATCAATTTCTCTGTACCTCTACTTGATTTGTCCCATCTCAGTGACACGGCAGATATGATTCACAGCAGACTATGGATTTGTGTGTGTGCAGGTGTGATGGGGCAGGGATTGGAAGCAGCGACTGACAAATCAAATTGAACAACTGAATAGAGAGCCAGCGATAAAAACAGTTTTCTTCAATGTGAAGCTTCAAAAGAAGGAAGCAAATACTTTTGTAAGGCAGAAGTAAAGGCATATAATAATATATTAAACCCAAAAGTTAATAGGAAAAAGTGCTCATTGAATATATGCAGGGAAATACAATGCTATTAGAAGCAAATGAGAAAAATACAATAGTTTAAAGCACACAGCTACATAGTAAGAAAAAGAAATATTTTGTTGCCCTGCCAAAAAATACAAAACAGGAAGCCCGCATACTAAAGCCAAAATACATCTAAAGACCCAAAGAGCAAAATGTGCGCTTCCAGGCTGCTTTTGGGTATTTCCCCAAGAGCTTCGAAAAAAACAAGAAGAAAGAAACACCCACTGCACTGACTCTTAAATGTAATTGCTTTTCAACAAGCAGTCCAAGGCAGGAAGTGATTTTTACAGTGTCGAACGACATGAAAAGTAACTACAAAAAAACTGACTAAAGGCACATGCAGAGACGTATACGCTCCTTTCTGTTTACTGAGCTTGGCATCTTCTCCCTGCTCGCCAGCCCGGCACTGCTCTGAGCACCCTGCAGGCAGCTCAGGTTAATATCCCCCCCGCAAAGCTCTACCTTTGTGTCGTGGCGTGTGGCGGAGACCGGGGTGACCTCCTCTGCCCTCTTCCTCTTGCCCTCCTCATCGTCCTTCTCCTCTTCCGCCTTCTTCTCTGGCGTCACCGTGGTGATCAAGTTGGTCTGCGAGATGCCCTTTGTGGTGGCGTACTGGCCCGTGCCAACCTCTGCAGCGGACACAGAATCCTTCATGTACATTTCATGGTTCTCATTCACGGACGCTAAAAGCAAACATTTAAAGAGATAAAGTCCCAAAGAGCCTGGGCGGAGAAGCTGCGTCAAGCTAAAAGGCAAGGGTTAGTGTGACCTGCAGCCCTTTGGCTGTGGACACGGCCAGGCCGTGTTTTGGTGAGGCAGAAATCCATGCACACATTTGGCTAAAGGGTGCTGGTATCTGTCTGCATAGACACACACGCACCGGGTGTGTGTATGCACACCTGACTGCACCAAGTGGGGTGCATCACGTTTGTTAAATGCCAGCAAGCCATGAGGAAGGTTACTGTAGGAAAATACCAGGAAAAAAAATAAAGCATTGCCATATTCTAAGTCAGGAAAAATAAGGAAAACAGCTATGAATCAGCCATGGGGACAAAGAGATTTTTCTGAGATGTGTCAGAATATAACAATACGGATCAAATGCATGGTGAGTAATGCACTGCACTAGGGGAAATGACAATATTGGTCATAACATAAAGTCTGAGAACGAGTAAGTGGATTTTTTCTGTTATCTGGGGTTAAGTCGGCCAGTGCAGTGCCTGAAAAATTCTGGAAGGAGATGACATTCAATTCAGTGGACTAGAACAGGAGATTTTAGGTTTTAACATTCAATAATTCATCAAACTTAAATTCACATATATGATTTGAAAATAAACAGTATATTTACAAATAGAACGATAATACATGCCTAAATCCTATTCTTGACCTTTGAGTAACTTATTACCCCTTCCATAGGACTATTCACATATAGAATGTTACTTGCATGTGTAAAAAATTGCAGGACCATGATGACAGTATAATCATCCATGATAGTGATTGTTACCTCCATATTTGGACCGCAATAACAGCATCCGTAAACAAATCATAAATATTGAATAAAAAAATCTCTTCTCCCCATTTGCACTTATGGCAAATTAACATTATAAAAACCTTGCAGAGCCTAACAAATGAGTGGGAAAAGCTTTCAGATACATCATCTCTTGGTAATGAGCTTACGAGGCAGGATAAAGCAAAATTGAGTAGAGGAAGACATCTTGTTTAGATATTATAAACAAAACAATGCAGGGGGATAATTTGTGCTTTGAGACACATGCACAGCAATTGGGTCACCAGTTGCTTGGTAACGTGCAAGAAGCACTTCAGAATTAGAAGATTTCAAAATTATTAAGGATGAGCAGCACCATTAGGGGTAGAAAGGAAGGCTCGTCACTAGTACTTTTAAGTGAAAGTTTCCGCCCTTCCCCAGCACCAGCTCCCCTCACTGTAATTTACTTGTATATTCTGTAAGAAAACTATTTTTTAAAAAACTGTAGTATTTCTAAGTTTATTAATATGTTCCTTCACAAAAAAATAAAATACAAGCAATATTTATTTGTGAGATTACATTAACAACAACTGATCAAGTACTTTGATCACATGTTGCTTTAGTCTAATAAAGCAGCTGAACCTTGACTTCCCTGAACTACAGAAAGACTGAAAGAGGAAGGATGCCCTTTTACTCCCCAGCTCACATCTTCAAAAATAATATGTGTAAAAAGCACTGGTCACTCTAAGATACTAGGTAATTAGAAGCGCTGCTGCTTGATTAGAAGAAATAATTCATTTTTGAATTTGTGTTGTATACTTAAATTAAAATTTTCACACACAAAAAAGGAAAATTAAAGAAAACCCAAACAGTTAATCATACAGAATCCTGTAGAAAATACTAAAGCCTGATTTGCTGCCTAGGGCAGGGCTGTGCTGGTAGACTTCTCCAAAGCCCAGAAGTGCTTTGCAAGTGTGGGTGTACAGCAGAGTCCATGAAGAGCAGATCCTCAAGGATATCCTCCCAGCAGATGCTTTGCAACTACTGCAGCAGTAAATTTAGTCCACCCCAGAATTTCCCTGTTAAATACTCCTGGCGATGCACATGTAACTACCCTGTGCTCCTGCTTGTGCCAGCCTGAAGGCCACCTCCCGTCCCACCACGGAGCCGTCTCACTCTTTGCCCCTTGCCCTGTCCTGTGTGCCCAGGGAGCACCACTGCCTTCCCTTGTCTTTGAAAGTAGGGCATCTGGTTCTCTAAAGAAACAGAGCACATGAAGTAAAGGATATTTTCTGCTTCCTGGAGAAACATGGAAGGAGCGGGAAGATAGTCCCATGCCAGGACAGTCAGAAGAGGCCCGGACCCATGCTGTGGGCACCATCCCTCATAACCCAAATCAAAAGTAGCCAATAGATGCCATGAAGCAAAGACCTGTTTATTGATTCTTCTTCCCAGTGACTGCTGCATGCTCCAAATACAATAGCAATCAGGGGGGAGGTCACAGGAGAGCCATCAGTGACAGCTCCTCCAAAGACGCAACAGGCTTGTTGGCTTCCTGTGCTGGAAGTGACTCCTGAAG